TGTTTTTTCTTTTTTTCTTTTTTTTAGATCCCTTTGAGGGTCCCAATTACCACATCGCACCTCGATGGATTTACAATCTTGCAACACTCTGGATGTTTGTCGTGGTGGTCTTATCAGTCTTCACCAACGGTCTCGTCTTAGTGGCCACAATGAAGTTTAAGAAACTGCGTCACCCTCTAAACTGGATCTTGGTCAATCTAGCCATTGCTGATCTGGGAGAGACTGTTTTTGCCAGCACCATCAGTGTATGCAACCAGTTTTTTGGCTACTTCATTCTAGGACACCCAATGTGTATCTTTGAGGGCTATGTTGTCTCAGTTTGTGGTAAGTGGCCACCGTTTTGTTATTTATTTATTTATTTTTATATTAAACTTAAAAGTATTTGAAGACAGGATTATGTCAAATGTAAGGCTGCAGGCTAAATAAACTTACTGAGTATCCTGCCTCTTTCCACAGGTATTGCTGCTCTTTGGTCCCTGACAATCATCTCCTGGGAACGATGGATAGTTGTGTGCAAACCTTTTGGAAATGTCAAATTTGATGCCAAATGGGCCACAGCTGGAATTGTCTTCTCCTGGGTCTGGGCTGCAGTTTGGTGTGCTCCTCCCATATTTGGATGGAGCAGGTAAACTACTCTGCTGCTTCTTTTAATGTCACAGATGCATACAAAGGCAGAGTCTTTTAAACATAAACTAAACATTTTCTTGCTTTAGGTACTGGCCTCATGGACTGAAGACTTCCTGTGGACCTGATGTGTTCAGTGGAAGTGAAGACCCTGGAGTACAGTCCTACATGATCGTTCTCATGCTTACTTGCTGTATCCTCCCCCTGGCTATCATCATCCTGTGCTACCTTGCTGTGTGGATGGCCATCCGTGCTGTATGCTACTTTAATTTGATTTTTATAATCTTCAGTTCAGAGATGTGAGAATAGAAGATTTGATCTCACATTCTTGATTTTTCAACCACAGGTTGCCATGCAGCAGAAGGAGTCAGAGTCAACCCAGAAGGCTGAGAGGGAAGTCTCCAGGATGGTCGTTGTCATGATCGTGGCTTATTGTGTCTGCTGGGGACCTTACACCTTCTTTGCCTGCTTTGCCGCAGCCAACCCTGGATATGCCTTCCACCCTCTGGCTGCTGCTATGCCTGCATACTTTGCCAAGAGCGCTACTATCTACAACCCAATCATCTATGTCTTCATGAACAGACAGGTGGGCTCAATATTAACACAAAGGTAAATTTACCCTGTCAAATCTGTTTTAGTTTTTAACATGCTTTTATTTTATTCCTTCCCAATCAGTTCCGCACATGCATCATGCAGCTCTTTGGCAAACAAGTGGACGATGGCTCTGAAGTCTCCACATCAAAGACAGAGGTCTCCTCTGTGGCTCCCGCATAAATATCCATGTTCTCCATTTTGGGAAAAAAAAAAGATAAATGTTTTGATTTGTACAGTAAATATTTATTGTTTCCTTTTTTCTTTCTTTTTTAGTAAATATAGCTTTCTCTGGCAAATAAAAAAGAAAAAAAATACACATAAAGCAAATGAATCATTATATTACTTGTCTTTTTTCAAATGTAAATAAAAATATCAAGCATATTTCAAGCTATAGTGCTGGTGTATTTTATAACTACTAGTGTAGCAATTGTTTGACCACTATTGCTATTTTCACTGGTGTTATTTGGTATTAAGCAGGAGACCTTACAAACATTTGTGTTTTGAAATGCTGTAGCACAAACCTTCACATTTACTATACACTGCCAAAAGCACTTGACTGAATCAGGGAGTCAAAGATTTCCTCATCTTTATTTTCCACCTGGGATGTAACTTCACTCAAAAACGGGAAACCACTCCTCTTATCTTTAGCAGAATGGCCAACTTTTTGAGGATTGGTTGTTGGTTTTCTTCAACTGTCGCTGGAAGAAGAAGAACCAAACAAAACTTAATCACATACTATATATATGTGTTAAAGCTCCAAATTAATGGTTCTTAAAAATGTTAATGAAACAGCAGCAAGGCTAATTCTTAAATTTGTAAGAGATTTACTGGAATCAAAGGTTATTCATCATAATGTTAGAATTCAGAAAATGAAGCTAAATAAATAACTCAGGATCAAATAATTCTAAATTTATAGCAGTGAGCTAGTGTCAGATTTCCTTCTTACACGCCCATGTAAAGTTAAACATTTGCGTGACTATGCCTGAAAAAGTTTATACCAAGAAAAAAAAAAGGTTTTCAATATCTGTCAATTACACGTGCACACAAATCTGATAAAAATAAATACTAGATGTGACATTAAGATGAAGCTATTCACAAGAGAGTAATATTTGGTACACAGATGCAGAACAAAATCACATTTTGCTCACCTAGTTAAGGAAGTTCACACTAACAGCTTGTCTACATTCACATTAAAAACAAAAAGTGGAAAAGTTAACATCTTTAGAGTCATCCAGGAGCCTTTCACCTCCTCCTCTCCTACATGGAGTTCTTAACTAATGTTGACCTGTGAGGCAAGTGGACTTGAGGAGTGCACTGATTAAACCATTATGCCAGCTTTGGTAAATCTCACCCCTTCCCTCAAGCGAACTGTCAATCCGGAGAGATTAAAAGGTTCCAGAGCAAACTTGCCAGACGTGAAGGGTTACGGAGTAAACAGGTCAGACATCAGACGCCAACGTGAGGCGTTCCTGCTAATCTGATTTGTGAGGATGTGAGAAATTGTCACGTTCATTATCACGGCACTCACACTACCAGAACATCAAGAAACAGCTGCAAGAGCAACAGTGTCCTCTGATGCCTTGGGTAAAATCTGAACATGCTAAAACAAATACAAATGTGGCATTTAACATGTTATACTATGTTAAACACCTGATCCAAAGTCTGGCACAGGACTGTACCCTTTAATGCTACAGATGTTGGGAGAATGGGACTGGCACCAACAGTGCGTGACGACAGGAAATCGTGAGGGTCATACAAAGTGACACAGCATGGATGACAGAAATCATACTGTATATGCAGGAATAAATAACAATTTTGAGTTTCAACTCATTGTAGGGTGTCTTCCTCTCTCTTGTGCTCATGTTTATTAAAATTATTGCCAACATAGGACAGTATTGCCAGGAGTTGATACAGTTGGTACATTTTTAGTCCCTTTAAAGCATGACTCAGCAGTACAAGAAACACTAACTGAGTAAAAAAAAAGTAAATAACCGATTTATAACCAGAAATGAGAGTAAAGGAAATTAGGAACTAGTTACTGAACAGTTTGAATTGCAACAGCCAACCTCATTAAAAAGTAGAGCAACTTCTCAAAGAAAGGCATTAGCAAATATTCTGCATTGGAAAAGAAGTAATAAAGTATTACTAAAGTAATACAATGTCTGACTGTGATTAGTTCAGGTTTAAAAATGGATTAAAACATTGTTAATCTTCAGGTGTACACCTTAAAGCCTCACATTCTGTTGTCAGGAGAATAAGACTACAATGTTCTCGAGAGCTTACAAAACATGACACAGTGGACTACGTTTTTTTTTTTTCGTTTTTAAAAAAAAATATTGTTGATGCTTCCAAACTGCTAGTTTAAATCAAGAGTGAACTTAACTGTTTTCATTTAACATGCTAATTTTTTAATTAAAATTACTCTTCCTTTCTTTAACAAAACCATATTCAGAATTTAATGGTAATTTTCACTTATACTTTGCATATAAAACAAGGTTAATATTAACATGTTTCACGTACCACTACTCTCTACTCCACTGATTCAATTCAGGGTCATGCTGAGGCTGGAGACTGTCCCAGGTGTTATAGGGTGAGAGGCAGGGTGCACGCCGTGTATAGGCTGCAGTGATAACATGCATTTAATCATGCAAGTCTTTTTATTAAATATGATTATGGATGGACTGCCACTGATAATGCTTTTATTTTATTTTATTTATTTTAAGACAGATTGCGAACTCAGAGTTCTTTGCATGCGCCACCTTTCTCAGCTTCAATAGTCGTCCTCTTTGAAATCAGGCCGTTTCTGGGGTTAAGATTGCAAGAGTTTGTTTTGATAACTTGAAAATATCATTATTAGCTATAATAGAAGTAAAATAATGTCTTTATCACATTCTGGTAGTGTTTGCTGTTCATAAATAGAAAAAAATCACAATCTTTTACATTTCTCTGTTTTCTCCACATGGTTTAAGAATTGCAGTGTTCATTTATTATAACGACTTTTTATTAAACATCTTTTCTTATGTTTTGTTTGTTTGTTTGGGCTTCTTGTTTTTGTTGTTGTATTATTTTAACATGTTCAAAATAAAGCCACATTGCATCTCAATAAGGAGAGATCGTTAGAAGGAACTAAACATAACTTATTGATATACAGAATTCAGTAAAGGTATTTGCCGATTAGACTCTGATGGCCCAAAAAAGCACAAATGGAATGACAGGGATTAGGGCAAGACCCCCGGAGTCTAGACACTGTTGGTAGAGAATAGAGATGAAGATGGAGGCTTGAATTGAGCCAGAGAATCAAGGGGGAGGTGGAGATGGGGAGGAGGTGGGGTGCACGAAGGCGTCTGCAAGGGAGACTGACTGATGAGCAGTGATATTTAAAGTACGCAGAGTGGAGGCTGGTTGGCTTAAAGCAGGCGGACTAGACCAGTGATGCCACAATGAGCTTGACAGCGTGGAAAAGTGAAAGTGATGTAAAGCTTAGATTAACCACCAAACACCTGGAAAGCAGACAGATATGTGACTACAAATCTTCCGCAATGAACTTATGCATAAATTCATTACATTGGTACCATAGCCATTTCAGTGAAGACTCTTTACCAGATGCATTTGCGTGAAATGTTGCATAACCTCAAAGTTATGCGTTCTGTAGGCCACTGTTTGAGCTGTCTCCTGGTTCCTGATCTATGCATTGTAATGACTTTGGAATTATTAAGTTAGAATCAAAAAACCGAATGAGAAAAACGATGCTGTCCAAAACATATTCATGAGTTAAAATGCTTAGAACTAGCCCCTGTCTCAAAAGTGCCTTTTTGTTATTTCTTGGTTAGCCCAAAACAGTTTCTGTTATAATTTGTGCATTATAATGGTAATTACAACATATTACAATAATAATATTAAAACGCAAGCACTTAAATTCTCTATCTACGCTGTCAGTTACAACTTAAATACGTTTATTTTTCTAAGCTTTTATTTCGACATTTAACCGGATGTTGTTGTTGACGTCATCGTGTGCGCATGTCCACCTCTTTGGGATGCAGTACACGTGAAGTCTGAGAAGAGCAAGGCTAGGGTGAAGTTATGTCTAAAGCTAGTAGGTATCCATCAGTTTATAGCTGAAAGTATTGACTCACTGAATGCGTGAAATGACATTTAAACGTCTTCGTTTTGTATTTTTTGCATTTAACAGAACAGAAACGAGCCAAACGACTCGGGTTCAGTGCGAAGTTTAAGGTGAGTGCTACAAAGCTAATGTTATCTGTCGCTAACTTTTAGCCCTGCTGGAGCAGTCAGTAATAGTTCGGTTGGTACTGAACTGGCGCTGAGAACCGAGCTTCTCAGCGCCCGTATGTAGTCGGTGTCACACTTTAAACGTTTTTCATGTTTTCACCAAACATTTAGGAAACATTTCATTGTGACGCCAAGACAACCAAAAACAGTATAGGCACCACTGGGAGATCTATGACACTTTCATTAGTCCCTCGGTTGGGAAAGTCACAGTAGCAGGTTTACAGCGGGAAAATGAATAGAGCAGGAATAAATAGATGCGGGATAGCCAAAAACAACTGGACTATATGGTAATAAAAGTCAAATGTACACTGTGCATAGAGTATATTGTATTTGAGCTTATCAGTGGTAGTGATTTGTATCTTTACCATGGTTGGCTGCATTTATCATTCAATGTAAACAAGCCAGTAAAATGAATGCTTTTGCTTTCAAGTGCTGTGCTGATGAGCTAAAATATATTACAACTCCCTGTGTGTTTATCCTACAGGCTAAAGATGGAAGAAAGGGGGATGCTTCGGGGCGGAGAAATACAGAACAGTCCCCTGCTCAGACTGTCAAGGACAGCAGAAACCCGGAAGAAATCAGGAAACAAAGGGTACGTCCTTTGAAAGTCTTGGCTGTACCAGATTTGATGGCAAATTGGTGAATCTCTCTCTTATGTCACATCTTACTACATTAGCTTCAGGACCTTCAGGAGAAGCAGAAATTGTCTCGAGAACGAGAGCTTATGAAGAGGAGAAATTTGCAAACCTTCCAGAATGACATCCTTCAGCGACAAAGGGAGTTTGAGCAGAGGGTAAGCACGATACTCTAACTGCATACTTTACAGTTTGCTGCTGTGGTCATTACCATATTCTTCTTTGTCCTCACAGGAGACAGAGATGCAGAGTTTAGAAAAGCATGTCAACTTTGAAAATGAGAATTCAAGGAAAGCATATTACAGAGAATTTAAAAAGGTATGTAATTGCACTGCACACTGGTCTGTATATGGACCACAACAAGAATTAATCTTCTTATTTTAGACTAAATGAAATTTTGACATTCTTTAAAATCACTCTGTATCATTCAGTATCTTATAGCCTGTTTCCTCTAGTACATACTCTGGTCGGCTTGGCTCGACTCAGCTCGGTTTTTAGGGTTTTCCATTAGGTGGTAGTACTAGGTACTTCAGCAGTAGTAGCTGGGTTCTCGACCTGGCTTCCAAGCAATCTGAGGTGATTCGAAAATGTGACATCAACAGACTGCATGCCACTAATTGGCTAGTTAGAGACATCACTCGAAGAGTCATGAAATAGTCTCTTTCACAAAAATCAATGCTGTCAGTTTTCGAACTCGAAAATGAGGGAATTGGTTACGCAAAAAACAACACTGTGATCCCAGGGACTGGCAAAACGACATACACCAGCAGGAGTTTTACCATCGGCTTCACGTCCTCCTTTGTTGTGGTGTATCACATACAAATGATGTCATGGGACTTTCACTCCATGTTGCTAAAATGACCACGTGCACATTAGCTGGTACCTGGTTGTTATGGAAAATGACTGAACTTGAGTCAAGCCAAGTAGGTACTAGTCAAAAAGGGCTATTAGAAACATGATGGATGAGAGAGGAGTTGACATGAGCGTTATTTGACATGCTGCTTTTTAAGGTTGTGGAGGCCTCTGATGTGATTCTGGAGGTATTGGACGCGCGTGACCCTCTTGGCTGCAGATGTCCTCAGGTGGAACAGGCGGTCATTCAGAGTGGAACGAACAAGAAGATAGTTTTAGTCCTCAATAAAATTGGTAAGAAGGCCACTAACATTGTACATATCTCATTTGTTTATTAAAATAGTAAATGGCTTTACTTTGGTTCCAGATTTGGTGTCAAAAGAAATAGTGGAAAAGTGGATAAAGTATCTTAGAAATGAGTTCCCCACTGTGGCTTTTAAAGCATCTACTCAGCAGCAGACTAAGAACTTGGTGAGTAGTGAAGCAGTTATGCTCTAATTATCTAGAAATAAAGATTAAATTCAGGCTGTACTTTGTTTTTAAATGTGACTCCGGCATGAACTCTGCACATTATGTCTCCTGCAATGGGAAGAAACGCAGCAACGTTCCAGTGACACAAGCCACCACAGAGCTTCTCAGCACCAGTGCTTGTATTGGAGCAGACTGCTTGATGAAGCTACTGGGCAACTATTGCCGCAACCTGGATATAAAGACAGCCATCACTGTAGGTGTTGTAGGTAAGTGCCGTGCCCTGAAATTCTGAGAGCACCAATAAGTTGGCTACAGACAATCTATCTATACAAAATGTCTTCGAGGCCAGATTGAATCAAAGGTTACACACTGCTGTTTTTGTACCAGGTTTTCTTCTTTTAAAGAAAGGTAGAGTAAATAGGATTTTTTTTCGTTCCATTAATGTTTTGCAGGTTTTCCTAATGTTGGAAAGAGTAGTTTGATCAACAGTCTGAAACGAGCACGAGCATGTAATGTTGGAGCCACACCAGGTGTCACCAAGTAAGTACACATTAACATGCTCAACCTACATGCCTACACTTGTTTTCTAGATTTACTCTGTGACCCTGAAGCGTGAAATGATTTCCAGAAAATTAGAATTTTTGAAACTTTTTGATACTGGAATGTTTATTGAACTTTCTGACATTTTTTTAAAATATTAAGTTAATACATCTATTATTGTGAGTTTCACGTAATTTTTGGTACATCAGCATTTTTTATTTATTTATTTTTTTTAACTTTTTTGGGGGGTGGGGATCAAAACACTTGCACAAATTTGACAACTTGCTTTAAGTCTTGCTTTGTTTCCTGAAAAATGAGTGAGCATGAGTCACAGCCCCTGCCCAGATTTAGAGTTTTTATTATTACAGCTTAGGAAAGCTAATTAATGTTCACATTTGTGAAGTAGGTACTTGTGAAAAACAAGTTGCATTATGGTAATTAATTAATGTTCCATCATTCAACTTCATCATCTCAGCTATAAAAATAAAAAAATAATTCAGTTTTTACACACACACACACACACACACACACACACACACACACACACACACACACACACACACAGATGCAACCTCAGTGTAGTGAAGGCATACTTGGCAACTGTGCCAACTTTATATGTTCGTCTAACAAGACACAATTATGATGTGCATATTAATCCTGCCATGGTGTTCTTGATGGGTTTTCTGGATTTCAGGTGTCTTCAAGAGGTACATTTGGACAAACACATAAAGCTTCTGGACTGTCCTGGTATTGTCATGGCAACATCAACGACAGACGCCGCAATGATTCTTCGCAACTGTGTTAAAATCGAACAGCTTGTTGATCCCCTTCCACCCGTGGAAGCCATCCTCAGAAGGTGCAACAAGGCACAAGTAGGTCATGCTACCTCTTCAGCAACTGTACTGAATGATAACACTGCAACTGTACTGAGCACTGAATAATAAGTAGTTCAAACAATGGCTTTGGGGTTTTTTGGTTTTTTTTGGAAACACAGATCATGGAGCACTACGGTGTCCCAGACTTTCATACAGCTCTGGAGTTCTTGGCATTGCTCGCCCGTCGGCAAGGCAAACTGAGGAAGGGGGGGCTGCCGGACACTGACAAGGCAGCCAAGAGTGTACTAATGGACTGGACCGGGTTGGTATAGCTTTTTAAAGTTCTAGAAATGATATTGAAGCAACGGCTCAGTTTAAGCACTGTTAAATTCATGAAGTTATGTTTCTTAGGGGAAGGATTAGCTACTTCACACACCCTCCAGAGACACACACTCTTCCTACACACGTCAGTGCTGAGATCGTTACAGAAATGGGAAAAGCCTTTGACTGGGATGAGCTGGAAAAGGGAAATCAGGAGGTTCTTGCAGGTAAGCAAGTTATAATTAACAGTATCACAGTCAGGCAAATTAAATGGAACATGATGATAATATAAAACCACATGATTTGATCATGTAAACCTGTTCAGATAACTTTAGACTAAATGGTTTGTGCTTTCCTCTGTGTCCAGAGTCGTCTTGTCCTGACATTCAAATGGGATTCTGCATGGAAACCACTGGGATGACACAGGGAGGCCAGGGCGAGTTGCACTGTGATCTGGGCTTGGAAGGAGGATCAGTGGAAGCATCATCCTCGAAAGAGGAAACTGAATCTATGGAGGATGATCAGGATCCAGAGGTGAGAAGCAGCAGTAGCCTTAAATTGTGGGTGAATTATAGAATATGATGACTCTCAATGCTGTTATTCATCTCACGTTTTATTTCTGCTATTTTGTTCCACTCAAAACAGTTTGGACCAATGACAGTGGAAATAAAATCACAGAAAAAGACAGAGGTACCCGCAATGGATGCTGCATCCAAGGCTCCGGATTTAAAGAATATCTTGAACGTGGACCCTCTGCTGCAGGGTCAGGCACTCCTGGCTGCGGGCAAGAAGAGGAAGAAGCTACAGAAAAGAGCTGGTTTGTGCAATTATTCATCTCAGTGTAATACTAATACTTACATTTTAGATATTTTACAACTGCTCCATAAATCCAGTTGACTACATTCAATTCACTAATATAATTCACATCCTTTTTAAAACACTGTGGAAGTAATGATTCATGGGTCTGTGTTGCGTCCTCTGGCACTGTTTCAGCATTGTTTATTGATGATTTTAACTGATAACTTATCGAGTGCACCGTAATACTCTGCACAGACTCAGATAAAAGCAGTAAAATTGATTGGACCGTGCCTCACAGGACAGCTAAACAGTGATCAAAAATATGATAAGAAACCAGCTCACAGCTTTTCTTCATTAGCCAAGTCAGTCATGATCACAATTCAAAGAAGTATGCATTTCACTTAATTAAATTATTGTGTTTGTTTTGATATTAGCAACTTTCTTTCATAAACCATTGTAAGTAAAAAGTAGAAAGACATCCTGAGCTAAGATCAGAACAAATCTATCAAGCGAGTTGGGTTTCGTCACAAAAATGTCCAAATACATCAAAATTATTGATGTATTGGGAAAAGAAACCTCTGCTGCTAGCAGTTTGGTCAGCACAGAAAGTCGTGGTATCAACCAGCTCCTCAGTTTTTGTCCAAAAGGTTGCTTGTATGTGATTTGTGACACTTTTAGCATTTTTGTTTTTAAAATTTATTATAGAAATGATCTAGATTTTGCCCTAATGCTTTCTGGGTTCTTTTTCTTTGCTCTGCAGACAAACTTGCCACCAAACTCTCGGACACATTGACATCTGCAATGGACTTCTCATTTTCAGACTAAAATATTACCAAAATAAAATGATGAATTTAATGGATCCATTTTGGTGGTTTGTCTTTCTTTGACATGGCTATTATTGTTGTTGGGTTAAACATGTGCAGCAGTGAACCTGAGAAAAAATTTTTCTGAGGCCCTTAACACTTTCTTTGAAACTAAGTTGTTGTTTTTTTTGTTTTTTGTTTGTTTGTTTGTTTGTTTGTTTTTTTTACGTCGTCCCTGGTAGATTATATTCCTGTTCAGACACCGGGTATTATAAATATTGCGATTTGAATAGTTGTAATATTATTGATGTAATACTTATACTAAGAATTACTTCTTTACTTTTTTTGAATAGCTAACCTCTGCGGAACTATTGGCAGACTAACGTAGATTAAAATGTGTCACATTTATGAATTATAGCAGCACTTCAATACTATAAGAGGACACTTTATTCAAGATATCGTTTTGAAAATACAACTTTAAAATTAACAAGTTCCGGGTAAGTTGCGTAAGATGACGTAAGGCCGTCGGCCTGAGGTAAACAACGGTAGAGCGGAGGCTAGTGACTATCAAGTTAGTTTTCACGGATCTGAAGAAATGGCAAAGAAAGCGAAGGACTCAGTGGATGTGTGGCTGTAACTCCTCTTACACTAATCAGATAGTACGTATCTTTAATCTGAAATAAGGTATGTAGCTGTGTAGCGTTAGCTTGTCGCAATTAATGAGGGCTAGCTAGCTCAGATTCAACTTCCTATTTTTACTTGGCCGTCGAGGGGTCGTACGAGTACTGAAATAGCACTGCCTTCAGCTAAAATAGCAACCTTCTAACAAGTGGACTATCACTGGATAGCTTCAAAGTAAATAGTATACGATGGAAATTCTAGCTTGAATTGCTTGTCCTCACTTAACGTTGATCTGGGCCCGTTAGCAGCACTGAGCTGTCAAACTAACACCGCCAATTAATGACGATAGAACCTAGCTTGCCAAAAATAGAAATTACGAAAAATGTGTAAAGTAAACAGCAACCTCCCAACTGTCTGTCTAAATGGTTCCAGAGTTAACCCATTTAAATGATGTTGTTAAAACTGAATTGGATCTTTTATGTTGTTATGGGGGAATCTCTGTTAAGAAGGTAGGCGACCACTATTTCAGTTTCAGTTTTCAGTTGTATTTGTCATATGCAAGTTAGCACAGGGTCAACATCGCAATGAAATGTATTTGACGAGCAGAAGACAGTCACTCAGCAGAATGGTACAGTAGAAAAAAATAAAATAATAAAAAATAAATAGAAAAATAGTAAGAGCAAAATATTAAAAAGATGTAGTAAAAGAAAAGGAGATTTTCAGTTAACTGACTAAATAAATAAATATATATATATGTGTGTGTGTGTATGTATGTATGTACACACTAGTGATTAAATAAAGAAAATCTTAATGTGGGGGGCGGGCAGATGGGATATTGCACAGGAATGAGCAGCAGTACAAACTAAACAGTACAAAAGTACGCGTACGCCTGCCGTGCGGCGAGTAGGCGGGGTCTGTACTCAGTCTGCCTCGACCAAATTATCGACACACTTCAAGCAACAATGCAATCTTAAACTAATCACTACGCTCGCAGAAAATAGACAAAGGATGATCACGGGTATTTTTTTCCGCCATCTGTGGTGTTTTTATCTTGTCAGTGAGTAATGACACGCAGACAAGATAAAAACTGTCGAACTGTTACAGTTCAATGGCTTAAAGTGACACCAACTCCCTTTGGTGTTCGTCTGCCTAAAAGGAAATCAGTCTGCCAAAAACTGATTTCCAATGTTTCCGTGTATTTTTTTTATGTGTAATATCTTTACGTATGTTCGTAAATAGACTTCGGTGAACAGGGTTTACAAAGGGGTTATATATAGAATTAAAAAATTATCAGTTTTTCAAGTATCTTCACAACTCTGTGTTATTGTACTTACATTATAACCAATCCGGTCCTTTATCCCTACTTAAAATATTTTTACAGAACTATTGTAATATTTGCTGCCATTTCTGCTGTCCTCTTGGCCAACTTACTCTTACAAAAGACATTTTTAATGTTAATGAGATTGTTTTTAACTGCAAAAATAAAGGTTATATAAAAGTCACTGCCAAAAACTGATTGTGGCTTCTACCTTGTTACACGAATGTTGTTTGTGGCTCAAGATGACTATATGTCATCCATGAGGGATGCATTTGACATCTGTTTCATATATTATAGCCCAACAAGTTACTTATAGCAGTTTAAATACGAGCAATCAATTTTTGGCAAATACCGGAAATCAGTTTTTGGTAGACAATCACTTTTTGGCACAACACCTGTATTTGCCAAAAATGCCCGTATTTAAACTGCTGTAAATGACATGTTGGCCTATAATCTATGAAACATATGTTATATATATTTATGTTAATACATATGAGATATATTCTTAACTTTGAGCCACAAACAATATCCCCATCACCAGGTAGAAGCTGCAATCTAATCCGTTTTTGACAAAGTGATTTTTATATATAATTTATCTATCTAGCTAAACACTCTCACTGCCATTAAAAATATCTTTTTAAAGAGTGATCTGGGCCAGAGGGTATCAATAAAGCAACAATATAACATAAAAATTTTTAATTTAATTTTTTTTTTTAGAATGACATTTTGTTAACTTTTGTCTGTTTTTGTTTTATACTTTGTCATCCCTGTTTGAAGCACTTTGTGATCTTTTATCTAGAAAGGTGCTATATAAATAAAACTTTACTTACTTAATATTTCTGCTAATTTTCATCAGAATAAGTGTCTGTTTCTGCAAACATATTTTAAGTGGCCAAATTCATAAAGTAACTTGCAAAAGAGGTAATTTCTTTTTTTTATATATACACCCACTCCAACACTCATGTTTACAGTAATTTCACTAATATAAGCATAGACATCATGATCAATTGTGGGTTAACAACACGCTTGGGACACTCCCAATAGGGTTTAAAAATCTGGGACTTTCCACCAGTTGCTCTTGGAACTGAAGAAGCTTGTCGGATGAGAGGTGAAACATCAAGAAATTTAAAGAAGTCCAGTCACTTTTCTTTCAAAGCTCCTTACAAAGAAATGACACACAAAAAATGCATAGAAACATCGGAAATTTTTTGGCAGATGGTCACTTTTTGGCATAACGCCCAGCTGATGTTTTTCCTTTTCTGAGAAATCACTTCTCTTGTATGGAATTACTAAGGTTTCAGAATTTTCTGCAAAATATCTGTGTGAGTGTGGTGTAATAGAATATCAATCCATGTATGTTTAATTACATTTGTTTAAAAAATAATAATTCTGAAGTATTCAGATGTGCAAAAAATGGTGTATTAATCTATGTAAATATATATATATAAGTGCCAATTTGGTCTAATACAAGGTGCTGGAGATGTAAACAGATACACATATTTGCAGATCTGCTGTGGCGGAAGTGCAACAAAGAAATGTAAGCAGCAGACCAGTTGGCCTTTTTAAGTTGTCTCCAGTTCTTGGGCCAAACTACTTTGTCTTTTGAGCCATTAATATTTATATATGCGCTTATATGCATACACATACTTTAATTGTACTTCAACAGTTTTCTGTACACTTTTAAGCATGCACTTGGAGAGCCCTTAACAAATGTACAAATCTTTGTGCAAAAACAGGCTGAGATACAGTTACACAATTCTTCACATTCGTAAATAATTCTGTTGCAATAGTAACCTTGTAATGCTCAATGGGACTGCTGAGCATGGTTGAAACAAGATCTATTTGAGTCTCCTGTGTCTCTGAGTAACAGATACAACTGTACCGGACATAACAGAGGGTATATATTAAAAAAAAGGGGGAAGTGAAAATGTGAATAAAGAAGTCGGGGCTTGAAGAAGCTTTAAAGGCAGCAGATTAGAGAAACTAGATTTGTATAAGTACCATTGTAACTAAGTAACACTCCCACTACTAATTCAAGATCTTAACGTATTTTAACGTATTTAAATGACTGATTGAAAACCAACAGCTTTCGGGGGTGTTGCAGTCTTACTAATGGTGTTGATTTGTTTGGCATTTTAAAGTAATTTGTTAACATTTTTAATGAAAACAATTTTGTTAAGTTGTACAATTATGTATTGAATTCTACAGGTCATATCACAAACTTCTGATGGCTTTGGAACTTAATTACTCAGATTATTTCAAACCAAACTAAGCATTTTCTATGTAAATGTATTTTAGACCTGGCAGTGACATCTGGAATTCTCATCAGAATATTAAAGTGTAGGATTCTGATTTGTGGATTGAGTGGTGTAATAACATCGCATGCTGTCCTACAGGTCCATCCCTAGATCCCTGGATCCGTCTCAGCCATGTCGTCACGTGTGTTGCTGCGGCAGCAGCTGATGCGGGAACAAGCCCAGGAGCAGGAGAGACGCGAGGCTCTTGCTCAGCAACAACAGACATCTGCCTCTCAGCTTCGGGCCACCAACTCAACTCCAGCTATCTCTGTCACGCTGCCACCTAATGCTGCCCGGCCCCCTCCAGCACAGGTGCCCGTGGAGGTGCTGAAAGTAAGAGCGACCTGTTTTGTTTTAAATTTTTAGCACTGTGTGTGTGTGTGTGTGTCAGACCACCAGCCCCTAACAGCTGTTTGAATGATCAGGTGCAGACCCACTTGGAGAACCCCACCAAGTACCACATCCAGCAGGCACAGAGGCAGCAGGTGAAGCAGTACCTCTCCACCACTCTGGGAAACAAGGCGATTCCTCAGACCTTGTCTCTGTCCCCCGCCCCCCAGTCCAGTTCTGCCCCAGAAGTGGCCCCTACTGCCAGCAGCGCCCCTAATAGTCCTATGGCGCTGCTCAACATCGGCTCCAACAAGGAAGAAGTAAGGGGAATTCCAACATTGATACCAGTAGTTAAATTTCCTGTGTGCGAGTTTCATTTGATGATACAGCAGATTACATAACCTTTTCAGTAGTTTCCTTTTTGGAAACTTCCAGCACATTTTTGTGGGGAAGTTGAATATCTGTTGCTTTCTTCTTGCTCAATTAGCTT